AAAGAAACCAAGAATTGCTTTGGGCGCTGATAATCAGCTTTTTCGTGGTAAGAAAAAGAGCCCCCTCTTTTCTTTGTATATTCATATGTGTTTTGGATCCGCTTGCACATCCTACCATAATTCTCGTGTGATTTGTTTGTATTACAGGAATTTAAGGGTAAAATGATTTACGTTCGTTTGAGCGAAGCGAATTAGAATGTAATTACTCATTATGTTAACCCGCTTTCACTTTTTGTGGTGGCCAGAGGCAAAATTAACTAAAAAAAGAGAAAAAAACAAACCACATTTTTGGCGATATTTTTACACTATTGCAAATGTGACATCACAGGATTTTATCCTGAGACTATCCTGAAACTAACAAGTTTGCACTGAATTACATGCCTCTACCATTGCTTCTAAAAGAGGAAAAGGGTTGGTTACTAAGAATAGTTCTTGTTCTTGGAACAGTTTCATGTGTTGGAATTTTTTTTAAATAGTCAGCCATGTGCCATAATAATGATAGCATCCAAATTGGTTTTAAAATATAGGTTTAGTTCTTGAAGGAACAAATATTGTTTCAATATAATATCACAAATCACAACTTGGTCTAAAGGAAAGCTCAGCTGGTAGGATACAAGCCATAATAATTATTAATACTTGATGTTGTAACAAGTCATTAATTCTTACCCTGCTGAATGCTAACATTTTTAACTTCAGTACTCATAATGTGGGATATGAACCATTTGCTCTAATAAGCCCAAACAATGTGAAAACAGGAAATCAAAGTTATTCCAAGACCAATATGTTATTTAATAACATATTGGGTTATTTTGATGGCTTTCGATGTTTCAAAATACTTTAAGTTTTATATTTTACAATGAGACAACTGGTGAAATGATTTAAAATAGATGAAAAAGATAAAGCCTAAGCCTAAGTCAAAACATGGTAATTAGATAAGTTAAATAGTGATAATCAGGATATGAAGAAATGTTTAAAATTGGTGAAGTTATAATGTTACAACAATTATTGGGATTAGCATTTTCATTTTTACACATATTCTCACAGATGAATCAGTCACTTCAGTTCCAACTGAAGAACCTGGTAATGTATAAGGTCCACAAAGTTGTAGCGAAGATTCCAAAAGGCTAAGCCCCCTTTGCAGGTGCTTTTGTGGATTTGTGTAACTGGTGTTAATATGCCAAAGCACTGTGAATGAGAATAGAGGAAATAAAATATGTTGAAAGATTTCAAAGCTTCAAAATTATGAAAATTAGTAAGACTTGAAGACACTTGAAGATGCTTGAAGACGCTTGAAGACTCTTGTAGAGCAACAATCCAAAAAGGCTACTAGGCATCTCTGTTGCTTCAGGAAGGCCAAACATGGTCTACTCAAATTAAGCGCTTATCCAAAATAAGACAATGACTACAAAAGCCATCATTTCTTTTTACTTCCCTCTGAAACACCTTGAGAAAAGTATCTCACAGAACAACAGCCTCAAAAGGCTAAGCCTGTCCGTTGCTTCAGGAAGGACAAACATGGTTTACTCAAATAAGGTACTAATCCGAATTAAGACAATGACTATAAAAGCCATCATTTCTTTTTATTTCCCTCTGACATAGCCTGCGAAAACAGCCTTCCTTCTTTGCTCCTGGCCTGAAGCCACTCCGGCTGGGAGCGAAGAATGGCTGTTTTTGCAGGCTACCTCTGACACACCTGGAGAAGAATATCTCAGACATTGACAGCGTCAAAAGGCTGGGCCTTTCTTGTTTCCCAGTCAGTGTTCCTTCTTACACTGAGCCACAACAGACAATGAATTATGACACACCATAGCAGACAAAAATG